AGACGACGAATTATCTTCTACCTGCCAGGAATGTCACCTATTTTTGCGTGCAGAGATCGTTCTAAATCCTTCTGTGCCAGTACTAACGCAAAGTCTATTGTTGATAGACTAACCTTACTCTGCTACCTAGGGGATGCAAAGACTGATAATTAAAAGGAATAAACTTCCAAGACCCAAAATAAAGCTACCTCACAAAGTCCTAATGTATGTAGTCTCATTAATAAGTTAAATATCCTATAACACATAGAAACAATATAAAACAGGAAGTAGGGCCAACCGAGTGGCGCATTGGTTAAGAGCTGGCTTGGGACGCCAGAGGGCCCCGGTTCGGATCCCACATATGAGGGCCAGTGACACTGCCCTCCACAGCTAAGATGCTGAACAACAGCTCAACCTGGAGCTGGGCTGCCATGAGTCGCCGGCGACGGCATAGGCTGCAGCCTCTGTGGCAGTGGGTTGCCATGGGCTACCCTATGTAGCCAGCAGCCAGCGTGAGCGGCCAGCAGCCGCAGTGAGCGGCTGTCCAGAAGCCGGTGACTGATCTGCCTCACCCGGGAAGAGCGCAATGATGGTGCCAACTTGGGCCAGTGAAGCAACGTCCTCCACAACTAGACTGAAGAACAAAACGACAGCAACTTGTCTGTTCCCATCCCCCCAATTCCCCAATAAAAATCTTAAAAAAACAAAAAACAAAAAAAACAGGAAGTAGGTGAATGTACCTAACACTAGAGAGGCTCTAACAAAAGAATGTACTGGGCAGCGTAAGAGTGAAGGGGTGGCAAGACCTCAGTGCCAACCATTAGGATTTGGAACTCAGATCCATGGTCTATGTGTGTCAAGGAAACGGGAGCTCTTGAATTATGGGGCTGTCATTCCATCGAGGGACCCTGAGGACTGCACAAACCGCTTGAGCCTACAGAAATTACTACCCTCTGTTTCAGTCACCTGTGGTTTGTTCTGTGACTCATTTACAGGCTGCCTTTGCACAGTCTGTCTTGTCAAACTTCAAACTTTGGATATTTCTCTACAATTTGACTTGCCTTTTACTTGAGATTCTGTCCATTCCTGTAGCAGATCTTTATCGACCATTTACTACATGCTTACGGCTATGGGGGAAACAGACTGTGCAGTCCCCTCTTGGCCTCCAGCTGCTACAGGCTTTAAACCCTTAAAGTTACCCAGTCCCAGGAATCAGACATGCTACATGGGCCAGCTAGAGAGCCCTGCCTAGGGAGTAAATACCCATCAAAAACAACAAAAACGAAAACAAATGTATAATGGGGATACAACCAAAGGCGTTTGGGGTGGGGGTTTCCCCCAGTACTCCAGCCTCGGGTCTCTGTCTATGTGGTTTTCCAGGGCTCTATTCACAGGGAAAAGCTGCTGCACAGTGACTTGCGGACGCTGCTTTTAAGGAACAAGGAACTGACTTAGCTGATCCTAAGACATGAAGTACATACACCCCACCAACCCACACCACCTGCCTCCAAGCAGCTGATATCATGCCTCCCGGCAAAGCCTTGTCCCTCCCTGCCACGGATGCACTCCAGGTCCACTCTAACCCTTTTATGACACATCTTTGCATCCTTTATCCCTTTAAAGGTATAGAGCCAGTTGTATATAGTGGTGTAAAAGCTAAACTCTTAGACTCTCTGCATTTAAACCACATCTCTTCTGTTCACTTGGCAGAGATCTGGGGCAAGTGAGTTAACCTCTCTTTGCCTCAGTTTTCTCATCCGCAAACTAGGGGTGGTGATGACAGTGATGAAGATGATGGTGACAATGCTACTACCTATCTCAGAGGGTTGTTGTGAGGATTAAAAAAGTTAATACATGTAGGTTGCTAAGAACACAGGGCATGGTACATGGTAATTAATATGTGGATATTAGCTATTACTAGTTGATTTGGTCAATAAATTCCTCTTTACAGCATGAGGAGAATCAGCAAAGCAGGAGGTGGAATCAGTGTTTACAGAGAAGTGGTATTCGACCTCAGGGAAGGAAGAAAAACCATTTCCACTGGAAGGTATCTCAAAAGATCAACCTGCAAGAACTGCCATTCTGTATATGAAGATACTAAGTGACATGTTTCAGATATTACTGACTCTAACAGGATCTTAAAGGCAAACATACAAATACAAGGTACTAATAATTTTTATTATCTGTTTAGATTATTTGCTTCAGCAATCCTTTCAGAGGCCGTGACTTCACTTTTACCCCCTTCACAAGTTCCAGTCCTACATCTCTTACTGGTTCCTCAAATTCGGTTTGGCTAAAACAAAACACTGTTTCCCTAAACCAGTTCCCCCTCTACCACATGTCCTGCATCTGGCAGCAATATCACCACATTCCCCAATCTCCCAGGGTTTCCTTCATCATCTCCTCCCACCCTCAGCTCCCCAAATCCAAGAGTCTCAGTGCTGCCCTCTGCATGATGGCCGCTCTCCCCACCTCCCCATCCTCACCCCATTTCGCTCCTCTAGCTTCACTCTGAGCCACTGAGTCAAGTCCAGCTGCTGTGCTGCAACCTCCTCTGACTAGTCCTGCATTCGGGCTGTCATCACATAAATCTTATTTACTCACTCTTTTCTCATGTTAGTTCCCTGCTCCAAAACCCTCCTGAGTCCCAAAGGGATGACTTCCCAAAAGTCTGCCCCAGGATCCTTCCTCCCCAGTGACTCGCCTTCCCATGCTTGTGCCACCAGCAAAATCTGGACTATTTGTCATCCCTGAGCGGTCCTGAAAATGTCTGCTCTTTTCCTTTGAACACACCAGCTAAAGTGGAAGGAGGCTTGTGAGGGTGGAGAAGAAAGCAGCAGGGCTTCACACAGTGAGCACGTGGACACAGCAGGGTCAGAACAGGCCTGGGGCTGCTCCCTTCAACACACAGCCTTCCCCTCAACTGTCCTCCTACCTTTCAAGGCTGCCTGTTATGTCGTTTTCATCAGGGTTTACCTGGATACAAGTTGAGCGTGAGTTACTCAGTGTGTTTGCCCAGGCCAAACATACCCTTGGGTAGGCAAATCTCTAATCCTAACTTCCTCTCCTGGAGACGACCCCCTAAGTCTTCACACAAGAACACCATCACTATGGGCCCGCCGAGTGGCTCAGTTGGTTAAGAGCTCACTTGGGAGCGCCAGCTCTGAGGAGCAGGGCTGCGGTTCGGATCCCACATTGAGGGATGCTGCGCCCTCTACAGCTAAGATGATGAACAACAGCTCCACCTGGAGCTGGGCTGCTGTGAGTCGCCGGTGATGGCGTAAGCTGTAGCGGGGCTGCAGTGGGCTGCCATGAGCTACATGAGTGGCTGGCAGCCGGGGAGAGCTGCTGTGAGCCGCAGTGAGAGGCCAACCAATGACCAGTGACCGATTGCCTCACCCGGGAAGAGCACGATGATCATTAACAACATGGGCCAGTGAAGTGATGTCCTCCACAACTAGACTGAAGAACAAAACAGCAATTTGCCTACCTGTCTGTTCCCCAACACTGTTCCCCTCCCCCCAATTCCCCAATAAAAAAATCTTTAAAAAAGAAAAGAGCACCATCACTAAAATAGACCAGGTTACCTTTTAGACACACAGTAATTACCGTGAGGAAGGAAGCTGGTTCTCTCTCCTCTTTGTTTCCCAACGTTCCCTTTCATCCAAAGGATAAGCTGCTTTAACCTTGGCAGGGTTTGAAAGAAAAGTCTATTGCTAATGGGAACCAGCCCAGCTGGGGAGTATTTAATGGGTGCTGACAGTGTCATCATCTACAAACAAAATGGGCAGCCCCTGAGAGAATGAGGAGACCAAACGGTCTGCCCTCCTCTAAAGGAAAAAAGGACAATAATGTGAAAAGTCAAGTCATGGAATATTCAGTACAACTGGCAGTAAAACATTGCTCTCAACACTTCTAAGAGCACAGCAGGTTGGAAAGGCAAACATCCCTTCCCTGTGATGCCTTCTGAAAGCAAGGAGAGCAAAGCTTGCCTAAAGGGACAGACGCCAAGCTTGAGTCCAGGGCCCCAACACAAGTTCTAGAAGGATCTGGAGCCAACTCAAGTTGAAATACAGATTTGTCCCAAAGCATTTCCAGTTAGGGTCTATGTTAATAAGCAGAACTGAATAATTGGAATTTATTAGGTCAAGAGAGAAAGGGGGTGTAAAGGGATAAAAAACAAACTAGTATCTCTAGAATGTATGATTGGGGGTTCTCTCATTTTCCACTGAATAGATATTCCCATGGTTTGGGGGTTTTGGATGTTACCTTATTGTAATTTGCTCTACATGGTAAGAAGCTAATATTTGAATAATAGTTGGTCAAGTTTGTAGGTAGGATTTCAAACATCCGGAATGCCTGTATTGATCCCGACATGCCCTTACGCCCATCTAAGCTTGATGGTTCATGCACATGTGTGACAAAACTTCGTAATAAGATTTGTGTTTCCAAAATCTCTCTGGGGACCTCTGACCCCAAGATATTACTTGAGCATATCATAGCCACATTAAATGTACCTCCCTAAGCCTCATCTGTAAAATGGGAATTGTAATTACTTGATTGAAGAGATGCAAAGACTAATTGAGACCCTAATTACTGAAGGGGAAACTGGCCTATGATCAGGCCTTGCTACCACAAGGAAGGTCTAAATGTGTTTGGCTTTCTCCCTCCCCTTTTCTTTTCTCTGCCAGCGGATATCACCCCTCAGAGTGCTCTGAGGGGCACACTGGGCATAAAGTAAAAACCGGAGAGGGTAGGACAGCATATTCAAGACCTGCTCTTCCACTTAAAAAAGATTCATTTGAAATTCTCTCAGAAAGTTATATGCCTAAAAAATTCATTATCTCTGTTCTAATTATACAACAGCCTTACAACTAAAATATTCTCCCAATCATCTAAGAGACCACCACTTAACAGTATATTAGATGCAAAAATTTTCAGATTTTCCCCATGGGTGTAAAGTTTAGAGCTTCAAATTTGCAAAAAGGAAGCGAATTGGAATAAAGACATTCACAGAAAGCTATTTCGTATCCATTAAGTTATCATTTACACATCAAATACATACAGCATTAAGACCAAATATACAGAATTTCCACATTTATATACAGTAATCAACAAAGTGCACAATTCAAACCTATCTTACAATCAAGTGTACAAGTTTAAATATGGCTTTATAAACTACTAACAATAACTGCCAAAGTAACTCATAGGTCCAAAAATAAACATTGGAATGCTGCCTCCACGACGAGGCCCTCATTCAGCAAGATGCTAGTAGTCCTTGTGTTTGCAAAACAGATGGTGCAGGTAAATGTTTCCAAGCAGCGTCCACCCATCAGCCCCCAAGCAGCTGAAACATGGGTTCCAATTATACTCAGAGGGGTCCCTCCCGTCTTAGATATCTGAAAATAAATCTGTACACCTCCCACACATTTAGAAACAGGAAGTTACAAACAAATAAAAGACAGTCATTATAATCGGTGAGATCATGATTACCAGGAATTATCAAAACATGTTTTTCAGATAGGCGCTGGAAATCTCAGGCAATACATCTGCATTTGCATTGTTTGGTTTTTCTGCCCACCTTTCTTTCCTTGTTTTAAGTCAATCAGTGTACTGTGAAATCTTCCAGGAATTTTCAAGACATTCTAGAGCAAGTGATCCCAAAAAAAGAATTTAAAAGAGCTCTTATAAAGGTGACATCTAGTTATTCACTCTTCTTTTCCCCTAACCCCGTTTCAAGTAAAAATAAATTTTAAAAATAATAAAAGAAATACCTTGACCCAAAATCATGCGCCCATGCCTATTTTACATCCACTTTGCCACACGTTACATAAACATTCTTTAGCCAATTGCAGTCTTCTAGGTGCTACCCTATGTCCCCTTGCCCATTCTCTAAACTCTGTTGAGTAAGAGAGTCTTCTTTGTAAATGTCTGTCCGCATGATTTCCAATGTACATAATGCATCAGTACAGCAGGGTGAGCCGTGTGTTTATGAATAAATATGCTGAGGGGCATGCCCAGGAACTTTTACTGATGAGGTGAATGAGCACAAAGGTTTGGAGACCGCTGCCTACACAGGGATGATTCGGGATGTCTCCAAACGTTTCAAAGGATTTCTATACAACAAATATACATTACTTTGTACATTTTATATTTAGAAAATGAAAACTATGTGCCACAAACACTTTTGAGAGACTAGAAGAAAGTTCCAGAATCACAGGAGTGAACACACACACTGGGGCTGGCCACCCTCGGCTGCTCCCCTGGTTCCCAGTGGTTGCTTCAGGTAAGACACTCTGGGAGCATGAGCATATAATCTAAGACAAAGGTCACGTTGCTTCAGTGCTCCCTGCATCAACCACTTGTATAGCCGCAGACCATCCTTCCTACAGATTACATTTGTTTGTTTTTTTTAAACCCGTACTTCATTTTAGCAAGATGCCACTGCCTAGAAAACTTGCAGTGTACCTGACACACCTCTAACCCAGCCGTACCACCTGGTTACTTGAAGCCCCTGTATCTTTTACTTTCCTTCTTTTCTCCCACTCAGTGAAATTCAAATATCACCAAATGAAAGACTCAGACCCCCATCTTCCCAAACATCACCATCCAGAACCCATCACCCTCATCAATATTTGAGCTGTCAGACACCCCGCATGATGCAGATCATTGGGAAAAATAAATGCTTACAATAACCATAGTCCCATGAGATTGATCACTGAGGTAAAATCATTTTGACAGGAGTCACCCCTACTGAAGCAGAGAACCCTTGAAAATTTGAGCATTGTCTTTAGTCTTATTGCTACAAAAAAAATCAGATATAATTTATTAAAGATAAAAATATAACCATTTGGACATGGTATATGCTTTAATAAGCCAGATGTGATCTTTTGGGGGATAGTATCAAATATGCGAGAACTCTTCAAACTCTGAACAACTGTTAGAGGGAAAAGTCCATAGAACTTTTTTTTAAGAGGAGGGAGATAATAAATATCCAAAGCATTTCTCTGCTCTAGCCCTCCAGTGGATAATTGTATTATTTTCCCTCGGCTAGCTATTTCGACAATGACAATACTAATTAACATGGCAATTCAGGAGCTGAATCCTATTGTTTTTAAAGTCATAGGGTAATTTTTTTAAAATACTGAAAAAGGAAAACAGTTTAAATATTACTAATAAGTAGAAGTTACTCTATTCCAGGGCCACACAAAAGAACAACAACAACAAAATGCTTGCCAATGGGGGGTGAGAAGTGAATTAGTCACATTTAGTAATACTGCTTTTCATAAGACTATTATCATAAATATATATTGCCATACAGTTAGTAAATCATCTCAAAATATTTAAAGCTGTAATTATGGACAATAGCAATTTTAAAACATTCAAGAGGGTCATCAAGTTCATTGCTGAAATTACTTAACTGTATACAGAACACTGGAGGACTGTGTCAATCTTTTGCTCTAGATAACTCGATTACCCAATGAAATACAGGGAGTGTTGCTGCTGACTAGACCACATCCACAAGTTATTTGGTTTTTTTTATTGAAATGTCTCCTTCATTTGTCTACAAATTTGACAATTTGGAGCAATATTCCTCTTGAAATTTGAGCATCCTAATTTGTCATGGTCTCGCTGCCAGCAGCAGTTTCAGAGAGCTTTGGTTTATGGACGAGTTCTCTGCTTCAACAGGAGCCAGAATGAATGATGTGGTTACTGTCAGCCCCAAAACAGGGAGTTGCTTTCCTCCAAGCTGTTTTTCAGGTTTCTCTGTAACCATCTTTAAGGAGCAAGGCCTATAGGTTCCTGCTTCCAGTTATCTTAAAGATTAAGGAAGCTCAAATATCTTTAAGATACTCTTTAAAGTCAGGGACTAAAACCTAAGTTTCTGGTAAGGAATTCAAATGACAAAAATCCCACACTCATTGCCTCCTGGCACTAGTAAGAGTTCTGCAGGCAAGAAGTGGCCCCTGCCCCACCCACTAAGGGGTTCTTTAGAACTTTGCAGGTTTCATCCAGACCCTGGAAGCAAGGGAATGAAGGTTAAGTGCACCACAATCACATGCAATTTATCCTTAGACCTGTTAAGATGGGTGGCCAGAGTTCAACATTTAGACTCAGAAGTAATATTTGTCACTGAATGTACTTCCACCTGTTCTTGTTCAACTTAAACAGCACTGCATATAAAGGAGAACAAAAGACCCTGGGTCATATTCGGGAGCAACAAAAATAACTACACCTTGTTTAAAAAAAAAAGAAAATAACCTGAGTTGTTACCTATCAACAAAAGACACCATCCCTTTATTGAAAATACACTCAACAATTGTTCTATGAATGAATGAATGAGTGAATGAATGAATGCGTACAGAAAAAAAAAACTGCTTGTGCAGACCTTTTTCCTGTAAGGAATAACCCAGCCTTTTCTCTCCCGCCTAAGCCCCAGGCCAGTCAGACTGCCCATGCAGAAGTGGTGGCTTTCAAGGCTGAATGAAGCTCACCTGGCCCTGAACTGATTGTGATAAATTGACCTTTGAGATGGTTAAAAAATAAATGACAATGGTGACAATGATGAAGCCCTGTCACTTTCAAAATGCCAAATCCGTCAAAACAAAGATATTCTCTCAATTAATGTAAGCCAGGTCTTCTTCCTCCCCTGTCACTCAGCAGATATTCAATGTGGATAATAATAGACATTACTTCTGCTTGCACAGCACATTCCAATTTTTCTCCTCTCTGGGTATGTTAAAGGCAAGAAAGAATGAACACTAACAACAACTTTGAAACTCTTTAGAAGAAGGCTTCTTCAACTGGGGTCCTTGAACCCCCAAAAGTATCCACAGAAAATTTCAAAAGGTCTCTGATGCTCCTGAATTTACATGTAAATTTATATATTTGCATATGTGTATTTTTCTGGGAATAGGGTAGAGGATTTTCTTTACATTATCAGTGGAGTCCCTGACACAAAAATTTAAAACGACTGCTTCTTAGCATGTGGCCCACTTTCTGAGCATACCTTTCCCATGCAGCCTTCAGGGAAGGAAATGACTGAGTGCTGTGTTTCTAGCGGAAGGGGAGATTATAATGAGCTGTGATGTCTTCTTGCAGAACTGATGAAGTTGGGCCTTGAGAGGTGGGTATGAGTTGGGTCAATGGAAAAGAAGGGCAGGCATTTCAGGAGAGGGACTGGCATGCACAGAGGCACAGAGCGAGGGCCCATGAGGCATGTTTAAGCCACGGCAAATGGACCACCCTAGATGCACTGGATGGCTCACATGAAAGAGCCCCAGGTGACAAGGTAAGTAAAGAGGTGAGGCCCAAGAAGTGACCCTCACCCTGAGGCAATATGGCAGCCCATGAAGGCCAGAGCTTTTTAGTAAGATCAACCTAGTGGTGATGGGTGGAATGCATCAGGGAAGTAGCCAAGCACATAAACAACTATCACAGAAGTCTAGCCAAAAGAGGGTGCCCTCATATCAGGGTGCCTTGTCTGTTCTGTTCACCACCCTAAATCCAATGTGGGTCCCAGGGCCAGGCACAGGGGATAGTGAGCATATGGGGATGGATGCTTTAAAAGATAAATAACAAAGCATGAGGAATACTGGTGACTTGGATATCCATCTTGGTATCATTCACAGAACCTAGCAGTGCCTTATTGCACAGAGTAGATGCTGAAGAAATTTCTCTTGAATGGGCCTCCACCAGGCTGAGTAGACATGGCGGGGGGAGGGGCAGGAAGGGCAGGAGTTGAGGACTCCCAGCACTCTCTGAGAGAGGCCAGGATGTGTTAGTTCTAGGAACAGGGAGTGATCTCTCAGGCAGTGCGTATTCTAAAATGAAACCAAGTCAAAGCGGTAAAACAGCAACAGCAAGAACTATCTATGGAAAGGTGAAAGACCTCAGTTCCTGGTCCTGCCCTTCAAATAAGTATACATGTCACACAGAGCCAATAACAGCCTCAGGGCCTTCTTGTCAGGGGCTTTCTAGAGCTAACCAATCCATGGCCTAGCTATACATTTCTATGGTTCAACCCTTTCTCTCAAATAACCCAGGCACGACCCATGAATCTCAAGTCCTTAACACTCCCTGTCCTTGAACCCTAGCTGTTTCACAAAAACATGTCCTCTTACCTCACTACACACAGGCGGGCTCACTTGGGCACTAGTGACATGCTATTGTGATGCACGTCCCAGTTGTTCTAAGACTGGGATCAGTCTCCTGGGTAAGCCATGGCCTTGGAAGTGTCACCATTCATGATTATGTTACAACAATAAAATGGTAAACTCACAATTTAGTTTACTTCTGCATAAATTTATATTGTTCTTGTATCTACTCTGATATATACAAGGCAAAGCATACTACTGCTGCTCAATAATCCTGATGAGTGGTGATGGGGAGGGCAAAGGGAAGTGGATAGAGAGGCAGAATTTATTTTCACAATGAGAGGTTAAAAAAAAAGAATAGGTGGTCCATGGGTCTTCTGTCCAACCAAAAGCATCTATCAACAGTAAAGAGCACACTTCCTTAAGTTACTGTCCAGTAAAAAGAAACACAGAAGTTGATCAAGTGAGCCAAATGACCAAAATGTCTCCTAATGTCTTGATGTTAATTTTTCTAATAAGTAGCACCTGTTCATCAAATTGGAAAATGCTTCAAACCTAGATAGCTAAAGAATGAACCACATAAAATTAAAGCCCTCCCAATAAAGAATGCGTAAGTCATCCACACCACAATGAATTTTGTCTTGACCATTTTGTTCCCAGAACACACATTGGGAAAGTAAAACCTAAATATATTCTAGAGTTGTAATTACACCTACAAAATGTTGGTTACCCCAGTCACGAGCTGTCAGGCCAGTACCCAAGACTCCGGGTGGCAATGTCCCCTCAAGCCCCTGTGGGAGGTACCTGAATAGAATAAACTGTTTTACAACTCCACTTTAAACGTTGGCTCTCCATGTGCTTGCCCTCTAAGTAAAACACAATAAAAATATATGTGAATCTACAGACTCATAACTTAATCATTCTTGGAGTGAAAACACATCATACTTGGTGCAATACAGTAAGGATAAATTGTAGACAAAATTTCAAACACAACTCTTTCCAGCTGCTCGTGGAGAAAGGACAACTCAGTCTTTGTGGAGATAGAGTCCGCCTGTTAATTACACTCACATTTCCAGGCCAGGAACTTTCCTTGTCACACAGAACTACCACCAGCTGTCCTCGGGACACACTTGCTCAAGAGAAAAGCAGCAAACAGTCCTCCCAAATGACACTGGAGACAAACCAGGCAGGCTTATCCATTATCTTCGCCACCACATTCTCATGAGGCACCAAATAGTCCTCCCAAAAATGAATGGTTTTAAGAAGATGCCAACAACTGAGTTTTCTGTGGAGTAAGAATTTCTAACTTAGGGTATTTCAGCATTTCTTCCAGTTCTATATGCCCTACACAGTTGCTTAAATGGTAAACAGCCTCAAAAACTCTCCTCCTTGATCTCCCTGTGAATCCACAGCATTTTAGGATTGTTTTGCAAAAGCTACATTCAAAGAGTCTTTTTCAAGCAAAGCACATGAACTTCTCAGAAGAAGTCGCTGTCTTTTAAGAAGTGCCTCTTTAACCCCGTAATGAATAATCCTTATGCGGTCCGTCAGTAGTGGTCAGAAACACAGCAGTTTTGTTTGCAGTTGTAAATCTTAACACTGACTCTCTCAGCCCAAATCCATGGCCATCACCTCAGGATCTTCACTCCAAATTTCACTGGAAAATATTTTACGTCAACAAAAACTGTGTCTTCAGAGAGAGTGCCTTAGTAAATACAGTGTATATACAGAGTTCAGAGTCTCTAAAGGCAGGGCAGGGGCAGGGGCGTACAGGGAAGAAATGGAAGGTCCTTAAGAAACATTAAAATTTGTCCTCGGCGTTGCCTTCCTCTCACTGGGCAATGGCTGAGGACACCAGAAAAGTTGCATTAATAAAACTGCATAGAGTCTACACCGCACAAAGTGCTCTGATAGTAGTAACAGGATCCTCTTCCTACTTCACCTTTTCAATATCTCTTACAAGTTTTCAAAAAGACATTACAAGTTGGCAAGCTTCTACTTACAAAAATCAATCAAACACTTTCCCCTTCACCTCTATTAAGCCCATCATATTGCCGAGCTTTAGTCCCTCCAAATAAATCAAACACGGGCAATGTAACACTCAGGAGTCAACAAAGGACAACATTCCAGTGTGTGTTCAGGCAATGAAAGAAAGACGTTCCTGCAAACATAACTGAAGACCATTTGTAGCTGTTGATGATTTGTAAAAATATTTCCAAGATTCATTCAACAAAAGATTTCGGTTCAAGCAAGATCACAAAGAGGAATGATGACCGAGTCTCGACTGTGCCTTTGTGTGTGTTTCACCTGCTCAGCTTTTGTGAGGGACTGTGTCTGCTGTTGCCCGGATGTGGAATTCCTTTGCCCTAAAATCTTCACACACACGAAGCACAGTAAAGAATAAAATGTTGTGTTTATGTCACACCTCTTCCAAGAGGTTTAAAGAGCCAAATGTGACCCCATGAATCCTCACAACACCCCTGTGAGGTAGGTAGGTGAAGAGTATTGTTAGCCCCACTTTACAGGTGGGGGAACTGAGGCACACGAGAATTAAGGGACTTGCCCAGCATCACACAGCTAGTCACTGGCAGAGCTTTGACTAAAACGTATACTGGTTAGCACCTAGCACAGTGCTTTGCACATAGTAGGTGTTCACTACCTATGGGTTTTATTTGACTTATACCTCAACATACAATATGCACACATAAAATACAAGCAGCCACCACAGAACATTTATCTCCTACATTTCTTCTGATGACATCTCTCATCACTTCAAATCCTGGTGGATGAAGGCGGTTTAAGAATTCATCTCACAACTAAGCCCTCATGTTGAAGAGGATCAATATAAACAATCTGAGGAAAACCCCCTCTTGCACCTGGCCTACCTCACAATATTAGTTTTCTAATGAAAACAAAAATGGATTTCAGGAACCATGCTGACATTTTTTTTTTTTTGTCTGTTCGTTTTAAATGGAGCCATTTGAATGGTTGTGTTTTGTTTGTACAAAAAAGAAATAAGGCTGCTACAGTCCAGTTAGCTTGTGAGAACTGTGCCAAGCACAAAGATCTCCTCCCAGCTTCGATGGAATTCTACCTGGGAAACTGGACTGACCCCAGGGAGTGGCAGCTCCAGCAGAAGAGGGACAGCGAACCTGAACGTCACTTGCACTGTTCATGGTCTGTGTAGTCATCCATGTCCACATCAGAATCAAAGAGTGAGTGTCCAGTGAAATCCGTGTCTGGGGTTCTGGAAAAACTGTTCTCTGCTCCCTCGTCTTCAAAGGTCTCTGTCCTTGAGTAAAAGCTGAAGTCCAGCAGGGGTGTGTGGGTTTTGCTGCCTTCGCTGCTCTCCTCAGACTCATAGATGGTGTTGTCGTCATCGTGGTGCCACTCTGGCCAGAATTTCCTCCTTATCCTCTCACAGTACATGGCGAGGTTGATCAGTTCACCTGCAGTGTGGTAAGGACAGTGAGGGTTAGTTCTCAAAGCCAACAATCGACCCGCCACTTGGCTTTCTGGGAAATCTGGAAGAATGGGGCGAGGTAGACATTAACAATGTTTTTTTCACACAGGCACTGTCAAAGATTTAGCCTTTTATACACATAGTAAAAAAGGTGAGTGGGAAAAGCTGCATTCAGTGAGTGGGCTGGATGCAACTTAGGAGTGAATCCTATGATGATGAGAAGTTGGGGAGGGGGGGCTTTCGTTGATCCAAAATGGCACCTAAACTACCGTCATTTGGCTTTGTGAAGCATTTTATTAATTTATGTTTGCCTATCAAGAGAACTAGTGCTTCAACTGGCTCATATTTAAATTAATTTATAGTCCGTGAAAATACACCAACTGTCAGTTGGATTAAGTCAGCCAGAAGTAATCATTCATTCCACAAATATTTGTAGTGTTATTACAGGCTGGTACTAAGCCAACTAGTTGACAAATGTTATGTTAGGATGGAAAGTTTTACTCTGAATAATCCATAAAATGGATAACTCAGAATTGTCTTCATGGAGGAGTGTGCCCACAAACACATTCAGTAAAACAGGTATTTTTTCATTTTTTAAATTAAATTCCACAGCTGCACCCACAATTGGGTTTCCACTCAGTGACTAGACTACTTCTTTTTCATGTGGGTCAAACACTTTGGTTAAGTCCTTAAAATCATCCAGGCATTTATCTGAAACATGACACAGTAGCTGGCTTTCATTTCCCAACTGCAAATGAAAAACAAGGGAAGACGGTTGAGTTTTTGCCTTTAATCCACCAGATGGCAACATTGCTTATAAAGATATAATTTGTCACTATCTCTTACAGGACTTCATTGCCCTAAAAATATTCTTTGGATGTTTATTTTTTTAAAAGTTATATAAACATTCACTTATTATGTAGGTAATCCATGTTTCATTGCAGAAAATTAGAAAATATAGATAAGCAAAAAATAAAAGAATTACCAATAATCCCATTTTCCATAACATTTTCATTTACATATAAAATTTTACATGTACATTTAGATATATTTACATTGGCTGCATAAAATTTACTATATATTCTGTTTCCTATCCTACTTTTTCCCACTTAATAATATATAATGAAAATCTTAAGGAAAATCTTAAAGGAAGACATCAAAGATGAATTATGGTCACTTCACAGCAGGCCCTGGGGACAGCCCTGTTTGCTTTAATCACATCCATTCCCTACAAGCTGCTTCCTAGGAGCAGTTAGAAAGTCAGAATCTAGTCACAAGATCCACAGGATCTGTACCATCTATGGCTCTAGCCACTTCTTTTGTGGCTGGTCTTTCTACAGCCTATTTCTTCACGTTTCCTTTGTGACTGTGTGACATCAATACCACTTCATTGTGCAACAATACAAATTAATAATAACAACAGCAAACATGTATATAGTCCTTACTGTGTACAAAGGCACCGTTTGAAGTGCTTTATTCATCTGTTGAATTCATATTAACTCCATTAGTCCTTGCAAAAATCCTATATGAGGCAGGAAATATTATTATTCCCATCTGTAATGGGGAAACTGTCACAGAGAGGTTAATTAACTTGACTAAGGTCAAGTTCTAGATAGTAGCAGAGCCAGGATTTAAACCAAGCAGTCTCCAGGCTCCATGCCCTTCACCACGACTCTATTCTGCCTCTCTACTTGGGAGCTGATAGCCTGGCCTGGGAATTAACAGCTTTGCACCACCTGTCACAGAATATTTTTCTGTAATTCTTTCTGGGGTCTCAAAGAATTATGAGATGCTGCCCCTCAAAGATAATGAGTTGTCATGAAAGAAGTGATCATTCTGTCACGCAGTCAAGAAAGGGTTTGCTTTGATAAGCAAGGACTGGGAGCTCACATACCCATCCTCATATCCTGCCCGATAAAAACAGTGAAACAAAGAGTGAAAATCTATAATTGAGTTCTACCTTTATCTGGTTTTGCCAGTCCTTCCTGTGCCTAGATTCTCCATTAGCAGACCCATTCAACATGCTATCAGCCAAAAGAATAGAAAAAACAGATGGCAGTAGAAATAGGTTGTGTGTAGTGAGTGTGTGTGTGTGTGTGTGTGTGTGTGTGTGTGTGTGTGTGTGTGTGTGAGAGAGAGAGAGAGAGAGAGAGAGAGAGAGAGAGAGAGAGAGAGGCTTGTTAACATAAATGCCTATACTGAAGATGTAAACTTTGTGAAACAGAAAAACTGCATTTTTCAAAGTGTATTCAACAATCAGATAACAATTTCATCTATCCATCCGGTAAAAATTAAAGTCTGATCACATCCAATGTGGAGGGTTAGACATTGTACTACATGGCTAGAAGTATTGCTATAACCTTTCTTGGAAAGTAATCTGATGTTCTCTATTGAAATTTTAAATGTACATATCAGACCACTTTTAATACTCTATAATAAAAGCATCATTATGTAAAAATACATGTATATGGATGTTGAATGCAGAATTATGTGCCAATTAAAAAAAAAGAAGAGGGCCGGCCGAGTGGCTCAGTTGGTTTAGGGCTCAATCAAGAGTGTGAGCTCTGAGCAACAGCGGTTCGATTCCTGGTCAGAGCTGAGCTACCAACAGGTGGCAGGATGGCTCAGCAAAACAAAAAAGAAAAGAGAAAGATGAAAAACAGCCTGGCTGTCCATCAATAGGGACTGATTGAATAAATTATGGTGTATCAATTCTAGAATATTGTGCAGCTGTTAAAAAGACATGATAGTCTATTAAGTGAAAAAATCAAGTTATAAAGTAATGTTACAATGTAATTCCATTGGTTAATTTAAAAATAGTAAAAACAAACCAAAACAAATATATATGTGTATATAAATTTGCACCTAAAAAAGAAAGACACAGTAAGATTCACTCCAAATCCTTAATATTGGTTATTCCATGGATGGGGGGGGGTCATAAATCTTTAAAAACACACCTGTATTATTCAATTTATTGTGACAATCATGTATTACTTTAATTTAAAAACCCAATAAAACAAATCAGTAAATTACTAATGAGTGATTAGTGATATTCTCAGATAACTTGAGAGGATATTTATCAGAGAGCCAAATAAATGGCCCTCTGCCCAGAGGACACTCCCAGACAGAATAAAGAGCTTTTCTCTTGGAGTTTCTCAAATGGAAATATCCCCATGGCTCTTTGCAAAAAAATTAGTTGTTTTATTTTCCCGTGTCACTCTAACTTCTCTAATTTTCAGAAACTTTCTACACAATTTGACACTGAAAACACTGTCAATCAGACCCAGAACCCAGTACTCAGTTTTTCCAGCTGCCAATCATGCACAGCAGGAATTCAAGTGAGGGAGAAGCCTACCAGCATCTCCCAGCACCACCTGCCCAGCCCTTGCTCATTAACCAGCAAATATTTGGAAAACATGGAGCCGGTGCCCACACACTCATTTGGCTCACAGGCATTTTATCCGCCACAACCTGTCCCGGGCCTGTGCAAGGTGCCAGCTGTGATCTTGGTTGGTCCCTTTAGCACTCTGTCACCCAGGCAGGGCGGGCACTGGGTATATCCTCTCAGAAAAGTTCTTAGCAAACTTGAATCCAGTAATGAGGACACCCCCTTCCTCTCGTCTCCTTGAAATGAAAAGACACTAATTTATGCATCTCAAAATACAAAGACCCACAAAAGTCGTTTGAGCCAGCCCTTTGCTGAAACCTGAATGCCCCCAGGACAACCGCTTCCCAAACACTGGCGGGTGGAGAACCTAACAGGGAGCGGGTCAGTACCTAGTTATATGTTTTTCAAGGGTAGCCAGCATTTTTTCCACCTTGTCATCTATCAAATAATAAGCAAAAGAGATATCCAAGTGAAATAAATAAATGTTGGTAAAAGAGTGGCTGGTCAAGGTTTTTCTTAGAACACAGAAGGCTGTGCTTCTTAAAGATTCAGAAAAACAGTGTTAGGTTGTGTGGCGTTGATGTGGCTCCGAAGGACAAGCAGAGGCGCTGCAGGACCTCTGCCCTCTTGTTGCTTCGGTGTCCCGGTGCTCGGCTTCCGGGTTCTCCGTGTCTGTTCTGTCCTTTTTATTTTTGGGGGCTTTTGTTTCCCCACGTCTGTTTTAAAGCGTGCCCAAGTCCACATGCAATAAGGATACTCTGATCAAAATATCAGATGTGGCTCCTCATTCCGAGTGTTGATGATAATACAACTGGGATACCTTTTTGGCTGTAAAAATGGCAAAAATGTCCAGATAAATTATATTCAACCCTAATTAACGGACAAAATTTGAGGTGCTTACAGACGCTCATGAGAATATAAACTGCGACAGTCTTTCCAGAAAGCAATTTAGCTATAGCTTAAGGAAAATAACCAGCGATAAGCAGGAATATATATTTATACAATATTTGCTGTAGGATATTAGTAAAAATTCTTTGAAACAAGCTACAAGTCCAGAAAGAGATTAAGCACATAAATTACAATGTTGCCATAGGATAGGATATTATACAACTACTACACATATTGTTTTGAAGAATATTTAATGGCAAGGGAAATGACGATAAGATATAGTTAATTTAAAAACTGCAGGTTATAATTGGATCAGCATCATGGTCCCAATTTTTAAAACTATATACATTTATGTGCTTGATAAAAGATGAGGATACGTACCACAGTATTAACAGCTCTCTGTGGGTGATGGAGTCACAAATTATTTTTTATTTTTTCACTTTGCTATCTTTTCTCAATTTTCTCCAGTAAGGAAGCATTTCTTATATCTAGATCTACATAGATCTAGATATATAAACAAACACATACTTATAATTATTTTAAGAATTGCTGAATATTCGCAGTCTGTCCTTCTTCTCACCTAAATTAAGGAAAATTTCTCACTATTCTGGCTGCTTCCAGAAGTAGTCTGTGTGGCTAGGTATTATCAGTAATATCTAGAACCATTCGCACATGTGGCTGTTCCAAACCTAAGGCAGAAAAATGCCTGACCCAAGACATTCACGCTCCTGGATAGGAGCCAGTTCTAAATTATCCAGACTCTCAGTTGGTTCTACGTCTCCCATCTCTTGTTACTTCTTGGGAAAGTTTCCATCATGGAAAAGACAAAGGCAGAGAAAGAAGCTGAGATCAAATTAGTAGTGTGCCTGCATATTAGCAGCTGTGATCAAAAAGTTTGCAAGGGGCTTGGAAATAATGACTAAAATGAGACTTTGAGACTTTCTGCACACTTAAATGATTCATGCTACACCAGCCCCCCACCCCCAAATTGTTTTTAGAATCAAAGTACATGCAACTATGTGCCAGAAGTCCCCTGGAGATGATGGTGTCAGTTTCCCCCAAATGTGTGTGTCTCAGGGTGGAACTCAAAATCAATCCTCCAAAAGGCTGATCATTTCTTCAAAAAGAACACTAAATGCCTCAAGTCCTTCCATAATGTAACAGAGGAAAGGGCCAAGTCATAAATAAATTAACAAAGGATGCTTCATTTCTGCAAGAAGGAATACTACAGAATCTGAGAGTTCTACTGAAGATGGATACCTAAATGCTGACTAAATAACAGATGACATCAATAGATAAGTGTGTGTATGTATGTATATATATGCATAGGGTGGGTGTGTATGTGTGTGTGTGCGCGCGCTTGCATAAAAGTGTTAAGTGTATGTGTATAAGCGAGTGTGTATGGGATGTGTGTGTATAGAAGTATGTGAGTAGACGTGGGGGGGGTGCTTGTTGGTGTGGTAGGGAAATAGAGGAAGGAAGGAGGAATTAATAGGGAGAGAGTAAATATAAAACACACTCCTAAATGAACTAAAAGGAATCAATGTATTTTAGACCACTGTAGAAAATCTGATGAAAATAAAGGAAAACTAATATTTCACATGCTGTGAATATCCCCAATATGATAACATTTAATTTAGATAAATTCCAACACATCACAAGACAAGGAACACCTTCATGCCGATCATTTAAGAAATTAAATATCAATCCATACTTTCCCTAACCCCACTCAGATGAAGTCCCAGAAGACATTAAATCAACTCCTGAGCCATTCCAACCAAATCTGATAATGTATCTGGAGCTCCAGCGACCAATGGGAGGACTTGGAGAATGACTCCTGTTACCTTAGCTTGGTCTGAACTTCTGGGCATGCATGAGTGTACACACACACACACACACACACACACACACACACACACACACAGCTACAGCCTTCACCTGCCAACCTACCCACCCACGTGTCATCACATGACTACTCACCTGCCTCAGTTTCATGTATTATCCTGCCTACTTGATTCCTTTCATCCTTCCATCCATCCAACATTAATTATAAGTATTCTATACACTGTTCACTGGTGATCTCCTTTACAGCCCCAGCCAGCTCAGTTGGGACATAAATACCTTGATTAACTCTTGCTAATCCCCTTCCCTAAACCTAAATATTGAACCTAGACCCCCACATCCCCAGCCCCAAATTGCTGCTTCAAATTACAGATGCCTCCAAACAGTTTCCACCCACCAATGCAGAAAAGCCTCTCCAGGGGCCCCAGCTGCCTTATATATCCTACTACCCCACTCCCCCACATTCACACACCCCTTCCCCAAGATCTGGTCCCTTGACATCAACCCAAGTTCAGCAGGCTTTTCCTGCCTGCTTGCCAACATGAATTTTACTCCTGGCTATCCCTCCCGCCCCACCCCACCCCACCCCACATGTATATTCATCCTCTAGCTCTGCTCCCACTCATCCCCACTTCTACCTCTCCCGTCTAGAATTGTAATTCTGATAGGCCTTACAGCCAAGACTATACAATAAAGATACATGATTGTGTTTCTTTGGTTAAAATGCGCCTATAATAATATTAATAATATTTGGCCTAGCACCAGACTTACCAAGCATTTATTAACACTTCCCTCGTTTTCCTACAAACTCCAACCTCTACTACTCTCAGGGTATGACCTACAGACCCTCCACTGACATAGGAGGAAGGAGTGCTCTGAACTCAAACAACACAGAATCATAGGTACTTATATCTAGAGGGGAAATATCCAAGACCAGGTAAGACAAAAGAGCACCTGAGTTGGGCAGTGTGTCCACCAGCCCCACCCACTTTGGTTGTTGCAACACGGGATACACCAGAGTGTGGTGAGCCGTCACAGTCCAAAGGAAATGTACAAAGAGCAACAGAACAAAGGCGCTAGGTAGCACTCAGGCCCAATTTCAGCAACAAGTGTTAAGTTGATTATGTAAGGAGCTGGAAGAAAAGCCCTGGTGTAAAACATGGCAAGATTCGTGTCAGCTTTGCTGAGAACACAGTCCGAAAAACATGGCAGGTGAGAAACCCGGTCTCCCCTCCACCTGTACATGTCCTGAGCACAGAAACCTGACCCTGGACCCAGACACCACAGCCTGCTGTCTCTACACAGCACCATCAAGCTCACAAGCACCAGCCTAGATTTCTCCATTGTGTTACCCCTACCCTTCGCCCTCCCAGCAACTCTCAAAACCTTGACGAGGTTCATGGGGCTTGCCTTTGATCAGCCGCTCAGGTCTCGTCCCAGGTAAGGTCCACATTGCCTGTGCCAAGTGTCCAAAGACAGTAGCGTCGAGAGTGGAAAGCTTGGGCCCCATGATATACTTCTTATCACCTGCAGCAGACAGAGCAGAGAGGTCATAGGGCTGGCCTGCGTCACCCCACACAGTCACAATTCAGCACACTCGCATTATATGCTCATTTAACTGTGCATCAAAAGTTTTGCAGAGTCAAAATGCACACAACCTATTTTTCTTAAAAAAATTAGAAATGAAAAAGTAAAACATTAATTTTGTGATATATCAACCCATACAATAGCAAAAGCAGGGAAGTAACTGAGGACATATCAAGATAAGCAAATGAAGGAGGAGGGTGCATGAAAAAAAGGGACAAGCGGTCACCCACAGACCTCTTTGTCGCCAGCTCTAGTGATTAAAGCTTGAGAAAAGCTGGAAGTTTGCTTAAAATATCTCAAAAGTAACCCAAACCAAGCACACCCAACCTCAGCACTTCCTTTATTAAATTAATACACTTCCTAGGGAAAAACAAGAAGCCTAAGCTACTTCAGAAGTTTGGAGACAAGGTTTTCCAGGATGCTCACATGGTCTTAGCAAGGTTTCCACTACTGAGCACCAGCTTCCACAGAAAACACTACATAAAGAGAAGCTATAAAATTGCAGCCTCAGCCCTGAGATCAAGCTCCCATATAAGGATATTTCACACCTCTGCTCTCCTCTCTCTTTTTCCACTACTACTGACCTACTTCAGGCCTTGTCACTGGGACTATCACATCTGACCTATTAAAATTGCCCCAAGCTTGTCCCATGGGCTACTGTCACGTGCTGTAGCATACAGAGGCAGCACAGGTGAAACTGATCCACCTAGTTCACATCCTGGCATTGACTGTGGGAGCCTGGTCATTACTTAACCTCTCCAAGCCTCAGTTTTCCCATTTGGAAAATGGGGGTGATATTAACGGTGCCCATTTCTTAGGGCTATTGTTAGGATTAAATGGCATAATGCATGCAAAGCACGTAGCACCCTATCTGGGTGCCACAATAAACATTAGCTCTCATGATGATAGTCCCTCTGGCTCTCCAGTCCATTCCATGCCCCTGAACTTAAATCTCGAGACACTCTTTCTTCATATCACTCCCTTTCACAAATACCTTCAGCAGTTTACGAAATGGGTTGTGAAACAAAATTTAAACTCAACTTGGAATTCAAGGCTCCTTATATTCTGCCTCCAAGCCATGTTCCAGTTTTGTGCCTCATTCCTCCCGCACCCTAGCAAACCTGGGGAACACCCCCTTTCCCCCAGCACACTTTATGCATCCCACTGCTACACCTTTGCTCATGCTGTGCTCACCCCTTTCCCTGCCCACCAAAACCTATATGTGCTCCCTACTTTTCTCCATATGATAAATTCTCTTCATCCTCCAAGGTCCAGCTCAAGCCTCATTTCAAAGCTTTCTTTGTCCACTCTATCTGGTGGCCAACATCAGCTTTTAGTCCAGGCAGCCCTGTGTTCAAATCTCACTTTTACACAGATGACCTTATAGGACTTTAAGGCCTTTCATGGGGATTAACCTCAATTTCTTGAACCATAAAATGGGAAGAAACGCTAGTTGTTATAGGGCTGTTTTTCATCTGTTCGTTTTGTCTTTCCAACTAAATGGCATGCTCTTTGAAAGTAAGAGTAATTCTTATTTTTATTTAACAAATTCTAACACAGTGTTTACTCCATGCCAGGCATGGTTCTACATGCTGTATTCTACAAATATCCTCCCATTTCACTGTTCTTGATGGCAAGCTGAGAAAATTAAATATCTCCTGACAATGCACAGGCAAGAAGTGTGAAAATGGCTGGAGGTGAGAATGAGAGTTTTCAGACGGACGCACATGAAGCTGGGAGTTGATGGAGGTGTTAGTGAGCCCTACGGTGGTCATCATATTGCGATATACACATATATCAAATCAACAAGTTGTACACTCTAAGCTTACACAATGTGATATGTCAATTATATCTCAATTTTCAAAATATAAAACAACAAAAGCCCACCAAATGGAGCTGGAGGTGATTTTTTTAAAAATCATTTCTACTGTATATTCCGCAGAGACCAAGGAATATATTACACTAACCCAATACATTGAACCTAACCAAATCACCTTTTCTGGTGAGGACAAGCAAGTCATCCATGCTCAATCTCCTAGGTGTTCCCCATTGTCAGCCCACTTCTCCATCATTTGAGTCGTGGGATCTAAGCCCATGACCCAAATGCTGAGGATAAAAGGGAAAAGTACTAGCTGGGCAAAAATAACAAAGAAAAATGTGGTATATCATTTGTTGTCAAGAGTGTCAGTTACTTTTTTTTAATTTATTTTTTTATTAGTTTCAGGTATACAAAGCAATGTAATAGTTAGACATTTAAACCCCTCATAAAGTGATAACCCATCCCCCAAGCTACTACCCCCTTGACGTCTTATATAGCTGTAACAATTCCATCGACTATCTTCCCTATGTTGTACTCCACGTCCCGTGACTATATACACCTATATATTTAGTTACAGTTGACATTCAGTATTATTCTACTTCAGCTCTTCAGGTGTATAGCACATTGGTCAGGCATCTACACAGTCTATGACGTGATCCCCCTGATAAGTCCAGTGCCCATCTGGCACCTTACATGATCTTGACAACATTGTTGATTATATTCCCCATACTGTATTAACTACCAATTTGTATTTCTTAATACCTTCGCCTTTTTCACCCTGTCCCCAACCCCATTCCCATCTATCACCCTGATAGATCTAGTTCCTATCTGGCACCATACCTAGTTATTACAATATTATTGACTGTATTCCTTATGCTATACCCTACGTCCCCATGACTACTGCATAACAACCAATTTATACTTCTTAATCCCTTCTCCTTTCACCCATTCTCTACCCCCCTCCCATCTAAAAGAATTTCCTCTTATAACACTGATTTAGTGGTGATGAACTCCTTCAGCTTTTTCTTGCCTGGGAAGTTCCTTATCTGTCCCTCAATTCTAAATGACAGCCTTGCTGGCTAGAGCAATCTTGGTTGTATGTTGTTGTTTTTCATCACTTGGAATATTTCCTGCCACTCCCTTCTTGCCTGCGAAGTTTCTATTGAGCAATCAGCTGAAGTGTCAGTTACTTCTTAATGTAAAGAATGTCCGTTACTTCTGGCATGAGTGATGCAGGTAGGCAGAGGGACCCTGGCCCAGAGCTCTGGTACCATCCTGAAAGGGCAGGAGGGGTGAGCCAACCAGTGACCACGTTAGGGCTTGGCCTACTCAAGCCTGAATGTGGGGAAGTCCACCAAGTGGAAGCCACGAGAGGGTTTTAGGGACTATTGCAAGAAGGGTTACATACAGTTTCACAGAGAAGAAAACAAGACAGAGGAAAGCTTCCTCCTGCTCAAAAGGGAAAAAAAGAAAATGGTGACCACCTCAAATCGCTAAAAAGAAAGTCTACGGGAAATGCCAAAGTAAAGTCTGTAACTTGTGAAGTCTGCTATAGAACGCAAAGACTCTGGGGCAAGAGGAAAAAATGTATATAGAAAAGAAACCTAAAAATAAAAATAATAATAATAAACATAATCATGTGAAACCACACATCAACTACTACTTAGAGTATTCAGCCCAAATTTGCTATTGTTCTCAGAACATTCAAACTTTAAGGACACTCAGTACAAGAACCAGACTAAGCACGCTGGCACCAGGTCTCCTGACTTCCAGCCCAATGCTCTTTGCTGGGCCCAACATATCACATGAATCATCATCTCTGAGATAAACACCCCATGGAACAGCAAGAGGTTGAGCTGTGAACGTTTACAAAAAGATGCTTTAGCCAGGAAGGAATACATAATATGGGGGGAGTGGGGGAGAACAGAAGTCTCAGGACTTTTTAAAGGTGCAAACAAAATTGATGGAATTTAGCATTTGTGGAAATGTTGAATGGTACATACAAAATTGTACGTGTATACACACACAACACTTATACATTTAAAGAATATAAAAATATCCTCTGTTATTAAAAAGTCCTCAGAGTACCCAGGGACAGGAAGCTTTTTTTAAAACATTTTATTTTGAAATAATTTTAGACCCACAGAAAAGTCACAAAAATAGCAGAGTTCAACTAGCTTCTGCTAATACCAACATATTACAAAACTGATACCGTGCTAAGGTCCGTCTGCCTGCTGCATGAAAAGGTTAAAAATCGAGATACATGGTTGGTGGAAAGAAAAGCAGGTTTATGTAGAATGCCAGCATTCTGGGAAGATGGCGGACTCCTGTCCAAAGGCCAACTCCCCATCCCTAGAACGGGCAGAAGGTTTTATAGGTACACAAGAAGAATAACAAAGGAAAGGGGGAGTCAGTCAGACAGGTCCCAGGGCTGATATCCTTCCTGGGGTCTGGTCTGTTTTAAAGTAACGTTATCTGCGAACTCTAGACTGGACTGGCCACCTCTACCTGAGGCTTTATGTGTATTCTGGGTCTGGGCGCCTGAGGATTAAGAAATCGCCCTTTCCAGGTTAGGATTTTGTTAATTAAATGGATTAATGAGATATGGGTAGTCTTCAGAAAGGGAACAAAACAGAGGTCTTCAGTCAATCAGTGAGAGAGAAAGAGAAAAGAGCTGAATATTAGGGTGGATTAAACTGCCAAAGTGGCTGGATATCATCACGTGGTGAGTCAAACTGCAAACAACCTAAGTCTAATTATGTTATTGATTTACCAAATTTCACCCTTACATAACCACAGTACATTTCTCAAAATTAAGAAATTAACATTAATACAATACCATTAACTGCACTATAGGCTTCATTTAAATTTTATTAGTTTTCAACTAATGTAATTTTCTATTCCTGGATCCAATCTAGGATCTCACAATGCATTAGTTGTCCTGTCTCCCTAGCCTCCTCGACCTCTGAAAACTGCTCAGCCTTGCCTTATCTTTCATAACCTCGACACTTGTAAAGAATACAGATCAGTGATTTTGTAAAATGTTCATCAGTCTGGGTTTTCTAAGGTTTTTATGTTTAGATTAGGTCATGCTTTTGTGGTGAGAACACTACAGAAATAA